AACTTCCCCACTTAACATTGTAGTTATGTTCCTGAAAAATGCTACTTTAAGCAAAACGATGTTAAGTGAATCCAATTTCCCCATAAGAATTAATGTAGGGGGGGGGGGTTAGGGTTCCAGGGAAATTTTGCTTGGTTGAGATGGTGGAATCAGAGAGTGGGATATTTCCCAGGGAATGCCTTACTGCTAAATGATGAACTAGCACTCGTCTGAGCCCACAAGGGTTAACAACACATTGTTGTTAATGTAGCCTCACACTCTACAAGGCAGCAGGAATGGAGGGAGAAGAAACAGCATGGCAGAGAGAGACACAGAGTGAGTGAGTGACTGTGTGTGAGAGACACACACGCACTGCCCCTTTAAGTACGCTGACCCCACTCTAAGTACTCTACCTTTTTAAGTAGATCAACAAGTTGAGACAGCAGCTGCTGCCAGCCAGCTCCCTCAGTCCTGAGCCCTGTCATGTCCCCCCCCCCGCTCTGTGAAGATGGGGGGCAGGAGTGGGCGGACACCTTGACATTAGCACCCCTCTTCTCCTCCCCCCGCCCCCGCACAGCAAGCAGGAGACTCCTGGGACCAGCTCCAAGGCAGAGGGCAGGAGCAGCACACGACAGTGGCGGGAGGGACAGCTGAACTGCCCAGCAACTGATAGCCTGCTGGGTGGCTTAAAAAAGAATGAGACAAATTAATGGAGAATAGGTCCATCAATGGCTATTAGCCAAGATGGTCAGGAACACAACTCTATGCTCCTGGTGTCCCTAAACCTCCAACTGCTAAAAGCTGGGACTGGATGACAGGATACATCATTCAAAATTGCCCTGTTCATTCCCTCTCAAGCTTCTGTCATTGGACACTGATGGAAGACAAAAAACTGGGCTAGATGGACCACTGGTCTGACCCAGTACGGCCGTTCTTATCTGGTCTCATTTGTTTAGAGTAACATAAAAAAGGAAGTCATACCTGCATCAGATTAAATCTTGCCACCTCGTTTATTGGGGCATCGGAAATTATTCCATACTGTTCTGGGTTGACAACTGCAGGACAAATGAAACATGCAAGCAGAAGATCTGTGCACATTGCTCGCACCTCCCCACCCTCCAGCCGGTCTACACAGGAGAGTGTTTTGTACATTTGTGATAAAATCCATCTCAAGCTATGCGGAAAGCAGTATGTGTTCTGCTTGAGATAACCAATGAATTTGTTCACCAAAGCCACTAACTTAGCCTCATTGGAATCCACCATTTCTTGGACTTTTTGTTTGAACCTTTCAGTGCCTTTCTCCCCAAAGAGTTTTTCCTGTTGTGCGGGAGAGAACCTCTCGATCAATTTGTTTGCATCTGTTTCTAGGTGGTCTTCATCTTCCACCAGCAGCTGCATGATTGGCTCATGCAATGTTGCAGTGAGGAAGAGTTTTGCAGAAAAGAGTCCTTCAGAAAAAAGTTTGAATAAAATGCTGAATGCACAGGTGCCTCTCCTCAAAAGCCGTCTGGGATTGTCGCTTTCCTTTAGTTCAAATTCTATCAAGTAACGCAAAACTTGAAGGAGGTAGCTCTCATCTTCCTGCATGATGCAATTGCCATAGATGGAGGTAAAGACTGTGTAAATAACACTTTGTGTGTTGTCCTGGTTGAGTTTCTCTCCAGCAACCAGAGAGGAAGCAATAAGCCTAGGGTTCTCTCTCAACCTGTTGAGGAATTCTCCATAAGCAGTCTCTTGAAATCCCAACTGCTTGTACCCATCAACAAACTGTGTGTCCTCCAAGACTTTGGCATGCTGGCAGCATTCAGCAGGAGAAGCTTCAGCACTTCAGAGAAAAAACAGTGAAATAATTCAATTATTTGTAACAGGGCTGTCAAACGATTAAAAAATTAATTGCAATTAATCACAAGACAAAAAAAGTCCCGATTAATTGTAGTTTTAATCAGACTGTTGAACAATAATAGAATAGAATAGAATACCATTTAAATATTTGTATTATTTTTTATTAAAAATATTTGCGCGCGCGCGCGTGTGTGTGTTGGGGGAGCACACTCTCTTTAAACGGAGCACTCAGAAACTTTAATGCTTTTTTCAGCCAGCTGCAGTTGCTGTTGGCAGCGCTCACCCCTGAGCCAGCAGCAGACAGGCTCTCCCTGATCCCCCACCTCAGCTCAGTGGCGACTGGGTACACGGGCAGGAGGAGGGGGATACCCCAACATAGGCCCTTCACCCCCACTTTGTGCAGCAGACAGGAGGCAGGCTCCCGGTCCGGAGCAGGTTGGCCAAGAGCAGCAGTGGAGCACAGGTATCCCTGTCCCAGAGGCATGTAGCAGCTTCCCCCCTAACCCCTTTCAGCACAGCGCCCTGGGTGGTAGCCTCCCTTGCACACTCCTAAGGCCGGGCTCTTCTCTCCTCCTCCCCCGGAAGGTGTTTAACCAGCTCTCCCAAATTGCCAGCAGTCTCTTCTCCCTGTCTGCCTTCTGCCCACTGGCACAGGCAGTGCCTACCTTCCCGCCGCCGCCGCATCCCATCTCCAGAGATGTAAGATTAAGGCTCATTTAAAAAAATAACATGTTAGTTTGTTTTGAGTTAACTGCATGCAGTAACTGCGATTAATCGACAGCCCTAATTTTTAATAGACAATTAAATCTAAAAGCAGCAGCATTCTGAATCCATTACCAGGAGCTCTAGACCAATGGTTTCCAAACTTTTTTCTGGGGACCCAACTGAAGAAAACTGTTGATGCCCGCAACCCAACGGAGCTGGGGATGAGGGGCTCGGAGTGTGGGAGGGGGCTCCGGGATGGGGCAGTGGGTTGGGGTGCAGGAGGGGATCAGGGCTCTGGGCTGGGAGTGCAGGCTCTGGGGTAGGGCCAGGGGTGAGGGTTTTGGGGTGCAGCAGGGGCTCCGGGGTGGGGCAGGGTACAGGAGGGGGTCAGGGCTCTGGGGGTGCAGGCTCGGGATGAGGGGCTTGGGGTACAGGAAGGGGTTTCGGGGGGCGCTCACAGCTGGGGCAGGGGATTGGGGCACAAGGTTGGGGCATGGGGTTACCTCTGGCGGCTCCCGGTCAGCGGCACAGCTGGGGTGCAGATGCAGGCTTCCGTCCTGTCCTGGCACCATAGACCACACTACACCTGAAGCAGTCAGCAGCAGGTCTGGCTCCTACGCAGAGGTGCGCAAGCGGCAGTGCACGGAGCTCCCACCTCGAAGCCGGACCTGCTGCTGGCCGCTTCCAGGGCGCAGCGCGGTTCGGAACAGGTAGGAACTAGCCTGCCTTAGCTAGGCAGCACCCCCAACAGGACTTTTAACGTCCCATTCAGCTGTGCTGACCAGAGCGACCCAGTCCCTTACATGCCGCAACCCAGTACTGGGTTGCGACCCGAACTTTGAAAAATGCTGCTCTAGACAATAGAGTGAAAAATACACTGCAAGAATTTTTCCTTTAAAAAAAAATGATAGCAGTTAACATCTACAATTTTTATTGTAAGTTTAAAAAAAAATTTTTTGAACATTAGTCAATGTATGAGCTTCATTACAACAACAAATTTGAGTGTTTAATAATAAAAACATAATTTCTTACTACGAACTACCAATCAGAAGAGAGGCAACATATATACACACACGAAGGCCAAAAATAAATAAATAAATAAAATTTTAAAAGGTAGAGTGTTTGGTCACATCATATTTAAGAGCAAATCTGACAACTCAGACTTCCTGTTTTAGAATAATTTTTAGAATGGTTTTATAGCCATTAAAATGTTATCATTAGAATCACCTGCTGTGTTCAATATACAGTATGAAAAGAATCATGGAATTCTTTTAATTCACAAGAGTTTAGGAGTTCAATTTCCCACAAAGCATTTATCACCTTGTTATGATAAGTCTGTCCAAGTTAATCCTTTGCTGCTTGGAAATCCACGCTGTGTGGTACAGTTTCTCAGCTGTCTTCAATACATCTGCATTTAATCTCTGAATAAGTTGCTTTTCTGAGTTTACATAGAGTCGTTCCTGCTTGAGGTGATGAGCCAGAGTGTGAATATCCAGCTTCACCATCTTTGAGGGTGAGAGGACTACACAGTACTCACTGCAAAAGGAAAAATACATGAAGAATTTCACATTATATAGAGCTGCTATTTTTTAAAACTCCAACAGACAAAAAGAATTTGAATACTGAAAAGTTATCAAAAACTTCTTGATAAAATTTAAGAACGAGTGATAATTGTAAGTTTATGACTTACTGTATTTACAGTACCTATCTTTGATCCCTATTTTCCTCATGGATCCCTACTTTCTTCCTGGACTGTATTTTCTAAATGGACAACCAACCTAATTCTCAGTTACTGAAGGACAATCTCCACTCATATATTTTGCTTTCCACAACCAAATCTCCGTACAACTTTTCATGAGGGATGTACCCGAGTACTCGGATTCTAATATCTAAACTGTATTGTTAAATCTATTCACCTCAATTTGGGTTATTGCTGATTATGTACTCTATGTATCATATGACTTTAAAAACAAACTTTGTATTTGTGGACAATCTAAACACTATACCCAGATGTACAGATACTCTTTTCTGAACCTTTGTATTCTATAAATTTTTTTAACATTAGCTTTTAATAAAAATTTTAAATCTAGCCCCACCTCCCAAACCCCAGGCAACATCCCTAGTTATTGGGCCATCCTTCATCACTGTAAAACACTTCAAATTGATAATGTCATCTTCAAAATTTCTCACGTGCACTTGCAGGGTTCAGTGACATCATATTGGCCAGTTCCACATACATTAAAGCTGCCCTCAGCTCTGGTAACTTAAACATTACTCTATTTTCACTAATAACAGTAAAGCTCTCCCCCAAAGTGCCACACTGGGGTGAGGGGAGGTGGGGGAGGGAGAACACCCTCAGGATTACCCTTCTAATTTCTAATGGTGGAGGCCAGCATGACGACACTCAGACTCAGGGAGGTAGAAGGGGGAAAAGGAGTCCCATTTTGACATATTATATGGTCAGGTCAGTGCTCAGTGAGCAAAGGAGTACATGTGAATAAGATTTATCAGAACACATACTAAGCTATGCTGCAGTTTAAAATAAGTGTTTGGGTCTAGTAGCCCCATGACCGACAGAAATTCCTGCTTTTATGTGAAATAAAGAGGATTCTGTCTTCTACACTATTCAATTTGCCTTTTCTGCTAAAGAGACTCATATAACTAGCACCACCCATACATAAACATGCACAGAATTCATTGCTATTCAATAGTAGAACTCATTCAACAAGGTCTCCTCGAACATCCCAACTCACAGGAATGTACTTGCGGGCCATGATCCAGAAATTCTCTAAATGACAAAACAAACTGAAGAAACCTCAAGTTGGAAAGGAAAACTGCGCAGTCCATTACAGTACAACAGCAGCTAAGTATTTAGTGAACGACTTACTTGCTTCTTAATGGCTAAATAAACCAAAAAAGTATCATAGTATTTAAAATCTTTCATTATGTTAGAAATATAAAGGGGGGGAGGGATAGCTCAGTGGTTTTAGCATTGGCCTCCTAAACCCAGGGTTGTGAGTTCAATCCTTGAGGGGGCCACTTGGGGATCTGGGGCAAAATCAGTACTTGGTCCTGCTAGTGAAGGCAGGGGGCTGGACTCCATGACCTTTCAAGGTCCCTTCCAGTTCTAGGAGATGGGATATCTCCATTAATTAAAAATAAAGGTTGGTCAGAAGTGTTTGCCAAATATGTAACTATATGATGATATAATCAGATATTGCAATATTAATCAGATGCAACTTGTCTAGTTTAGGATTTAAAGGTGTGATCTTTGCACCTGTTAACTAACATGTCATAACTATCCAATTAAAACATCTAGATAGATAAGGCATATTGCCGTTGACATGTGATAAAATGGTCAAGTTATTCAAAAGAAATTTCCCTTTTTCCTCTATTTATTTAAATTAAGATGTTAAAGAATCATTTGTGAAAACCATATTAACATGGACAATATAATTTGTGTAAGCACAATTACAGAGAAGAAAACTGAGCAGCCATTAACCTCACCTGATTTCTTACAAAGAAAATTACCTTAGCTGACCACGCATTTCCTCACCGTCAGATGTAGGCCTTCTTGAGTGTTAGTATGGTAGGAAGAATTATGACCAGCTCCACCACCCTGTATATGGTAGAGCACCCAAATACTATGGTGATGGGTACTTAAATACAATAATAAATGGAATGCCTGTCTGTTCCCTATCAGCTCTAGCACCTTCAGTGAAGCCTGATCTCGCAATGCTCCTTGCTCCCACACTCGGGGAACGCAAGTATGATTTATGATTTGCAGGCACATCACTCTCCTCTTTGTACTCCTTTAAAGATCTTTCCGGCCACACCAGGCACTAAACCACAGGATCCTCTCCAAATAATATTTATTAGCTTCCCTAACTGGGCACAGAATTTTTAAAAGAAACCCTGATGGTTCAAAAGCATGGCTCACCAACAACTCCTTACCCAAGTTCCCTCACCTATGGTTCAACTTGACAAGCAAAACCCTATCATCCAAAGGAAGATAAGCCATAAATAGCTGTCATATATAATCTTTATATATAGAAATGTCGGAACACCTCAACTTACAAAGCATTTTCTAAGCTTGCAAAGGAGACTCAGAGTATCCTTAACAAAAATCAATCCAAAGGCTGTAGTTCATGCTGAGATCCTCTCTCCACTTGAAGGTGATATTAAATCAAAAGAACGAGGAGTCCGGTGGCACCTTAAAGACTAAGATTTCTTTGGGCATAAGCTTTTGTGGGTAAAAAAAACCATTTCTTCAGTTGCATCTGAAGAAGTGGGGTTTTTTTACCCACAAAAGCTTATGCCCAAAGAAATCTTAGTCTTTAAGGTGCCACCGGACTCCTCATTGTTTTTGTGGATACAGACTAACATGGCTACTCCTCGGATATATTAAACCAAAAAAAGACTTCAAGAAGAATACATGGTACCTTTACAAAAAGTTTTAAAAGTGACTGCCTCATTAAACGAATGGAGAAGTTCTATTAATGTGACAGAACTGTGCCAGCAACATAAGGTTTCTAACAAATGATTTCTTGCAACAAATTATCCTTACAATAAAAATCAAGAAATAGATTATAAATACCTATGTTAAAGCAACTTCCAGGTGACCAGAAAAAATGATGTATATAGTGACATACGTCATTGTATTCCTCAGTTTTTACAAGATATTGCATCTAAAATACAAAGTATTGCATCTATGGACCTAAAACAAGTTAGCTATAACATACAAATTTTGATATATATAACCACATCAGGATGAGTTAAAGAGCTGCCTAGGTATTTTTATGGCCCTCATCACTACAGTACCCAGGCACCATGGCGTAGAATTATTAATTCATTTTAACTCATTCTGGATGAGAGACAATGCACTGTGTACGTTTTGAGGGGAGGCAAGTTCCTAGTTTTGCAAAGTTCCCCTATTATACATGACATTTTATAATTAACCTGCATCTGATGAGTTTCAGATCCCTAAAGTAAAATTACATCTCAAATACTTGCATAGGGTTTCACAAAGTCTCTGTTTTTAATAGTGAAAACAATCTCTTGTTGAGCTTGTACATTTTAACCTTGCACATGCACTACAAAAGGTTTTTTTGTTCAAAGGGGACTGTACAGCAAGAGTGTGTGTGTGCACGCATTAAAGAATAAGGAACATTTTCATTAGATTTTACAAGTTGTTACTAGGGAGAAGTTTTACTTTGCAAAGGCAACCTCTTTCACAATGGCAACTGAAATATAGGAAGACTATTCAATGCTTTTCACCACTAATTAATAGTTGGTATAATTTAAAAACGGGGCTGGTATGCTTTTACTTAGTATTAAAGACTGTAGGATAAAGAGATCCATTTGAAAGTTGCATTTTCAATTATGGAAAGACATACTATTTGGAACCTGGAGTAGGTCAAAACACTTTTAAAATGTTTTTTATCAAACTAAACATTTTTGCTAGGTTATTTGGAAAGCTATTCATTATTCTAAGGACTTAATTTGCTCACCTTTTGAATAAGAGTTTTATTTTTGTGACTAAAACATACGATTTTTTTATATGATAAAATCCCTGCAGTTAGATTTAGTAGTTGGAGGCAATAATGCAAATTCAGCTTTGGTAAGAAGGAAGCCAGCTATTTCTTCACACGCTCCTCTTGTTTGCTAGTCATAACATTACCTTCAACTGTGGAGGAAATGAGAAAGTATAACCAGAAAGTTATTTATGAAGAAAAGACTGCCAATGATAGCTCTCTAAAAAGCTAAAAGATCAGTGCACTCATCTTTCCTTCACAAAACTGTATTGAAAAAAAAGCAAGAAATATCCTTAAACTAGCTTTAGAAAGGTGAGTAAGGATTTCAAAGCAGTTAAATAACTTTAAGGCAATCTGAGAATTTGCATACAATACAAAAATCTTCTGACAGTCCTAGATTCCTGGGATCCCTTGATATAGAACAGAGGACCTACTTGGAGTTCAAAGTGACAACAGCATTTTAATTAACTCAAGCACAAGGTGAGCTGGAGTTCCAACTGACTATTTAACCACATTTTCTCCAGAAACATACCTGGCCAAATTCAGTGCCAACTTGATTTCCTGAACTGGATGCAAGTCAGCACAGAATTTGGCCCGGAGTGTCTGAAAGCTGAAGCAGACAGCAAGATGGAAGTGTAAATTCTTTGGAAAATAAACAGCAAAAATATAGGAAACAAATAATATTTTGGACTTAAGGCCCAATTCCAATTATTCACTCTGGAGTTGCATGTCACACAGGAAGGCAGAATTTGGACCCAGAATGCTTTCAAGGGTAAGAGCTTTCAAACATACTTTCCATAAAAGATAGACAGCATATTTCCAACCCCACTAGCTTAGTTATGAGGCAGGAAAAGAAAGCATTTACCAAAGTTCATTGTCCACAGCTTGAAAGCCAGTACTGCAAGTTAATCAATATGAAACAGGTCATATCAACTTATTTATTTGGTTGGGGGGCAGGGATGAAGGAGTGAGGTGGATACTTCAGAAAACAGGAAAATTTAT